GCGAATCTCTATAGTCTTCAACACCGGAAGTGTCTAATTCCTCAAGAGAATCCGGGCTAGATACTTTCAAGTCAACAAGGTCACAGATTTAACACAACAAACCGGACATTAGGAACGTAAACTCGAACAGAAAGCATTGTCTGTTACTTTGGTTGGTAGCTCAGTGGTAAATGTCTCTCGTCACTCCAAGGACCCGGGATCTAAGCACATTCTTGGTGACCTTGTTTGTTTGTTGTTTAGCGCCGCACTCAGCAATATTCCAGCTATATGACGTCGGTCTGTAAATAATCGAGTCTGGAGCAGACAATCCAGTGATTGACATCATGAACATCGATCCACGCAATTGGAATGCGATAACATGCATCAACCAAGTCAGTGAGCCTGACCACCCGATCCCGTTAGTCGCCTCTTACGACAAGCAGTGTCGCCTTTTATGGCAAGCATGGGTTGCTACCCGATCTTCACGGGTCGCTTGTCTATGCAAATGGATGTAAAGCTTCTATGAAGTAAAATGAATACGCGAGACACTGAATAGTATGCTCTCCTTAATCCTTATGTTTCAGCCACCAGGGGGCGTGAGCAGTAACTCTTGGGATTCTTTGTCTTTAGAAACCCGTTTATACAGACGACCTGGTTCATCCAGTTTAACGAGGTTCCCAAAACAACACCAAATGTGATGACACAGTGAAAATCTTCAGCTATTACACGTGGAATTGAAAGAAATATTCAATAAGTGCTGACATATACAGTTATAAAGCTATAACTTCAAGATGGCGCAAGTCTACACAGGCTGTGACGTCATCCGCAAGACCTACTTCAAGATTCCTTCAATTTTACGCCTATCATTATGCCGCCCAGCGTACGAATGATCCACACAACAATATGTACGCTCATAAATACTTTGACAATGGCGTTACTGCTGCTCCATACTGGCAGAGAGATCCTGTGCAGAGACCAGAACGTCTGACACTACAACAATGGAGACATGGTCACATCTGTTTGTGCCGAGATAATGGCAGAAATGTGGGCCTCGCACCGCCGCCATAGATGATTCAGATACTGTCATGTGTACAGACAGCAGATGAGAAATGGCTTTCCAGTCACATACACATTCCTTCATCGACCACTGATCCCCATCTGACAATACATGATGCACACATATTGTTGCAAACATGAATATACCTGCCATGTATTGTTGCAACTATGCATTTATTGCGTTTTTAGGTTGTTGCGGCTATGAGTACATGCTATTTATGCAAGGTTGTGAATATATGTCGTGTATTGTTGCAGTTACGCATATATTGTTGCAACTAGGCATACATGTAAATACCATTTATACAATGTTGCGACAATGAATGTATATGTTCTTGGCTGCTACTAGGCATATATATGAATTCTACAATGTTGCAACAATGAATATATGTGTACTTGGCTGCAACTAGGCGTATATAAAATTTATACAATGTTTCGACAATGAATATATAATTATGAACATGGTTGCAACATGGCATATATACCATGTTGCAACCATGAATATATGTGTACATGGCTGCAACTGGGACATTTGGCATATTTACATGGCTGCAACTAATTAATTTAATATATATATATATATATATATATATATATATATATATATATATATAAATATTATTTTCGCATTTTCGAGTGAATATATATGGGTGCAAATGTTAATATATAAGTCATGCATATACTGTAAATGGTTGCAGTCAAGAACGAATTCACATAGCTGCCCCAGTGAACATATATGTCCTGCTAGATCCTATATATACTACCTCTCTTTGAATGTCCAGTATTGGTGCTGAACGAAACTGATTGTTTGGAAGTCATACAAATAGTATCTGATGTTGCAGTGGAACTGAATCATATTTGGCTCCATGTCAAGTTATAATAAAAACAAGTACATGATTCGATATTTGTTTTGTCATATTTGTCATATTCTCTGTCATATAAACCAGACCAGCGCTAAACAACACAAACTATGAGGTCTTTAGACGAGTGAGAAAAGAAACATCTCTCTAGGGTTATTGATATGTAGGGGCACGGGTGGCCCAGTCGTCTAAGGCGCCGCGATTCGCTGTGCAGAGTTGCATCCCTTGGGCACGCCAGAGACCTATAATTGTGGGTTTGAATCCCGGTTCGCGCCGATTATGTTTCTGATTATGATTATGTTTGTGAGCACCATACCCATGCTCGTGGGTTTCACCGAAGTGGTATACGTCTGAGACCTGCATCACTTCGGGCTTTCCTCCCACATTAAGCTGACACGCCGCAATATAACTGGAATACTGTTAAAAGCGGCGTTAAACCCAACTCACTCACTATTGATATGATTGATGATAATACTTGTTAATTCAACATTTACTAAAAGAACACACAGCTGTACCGGTTGTTAAGCACACGTTCACGTTGAATAGAATGCTTTACCACTATCAGATATAGTTCCTTACAACAGAAATGTTTATAAGATCCACGTGGTTACGATTTTGAAATAATGTTAAGCTGATAACAAGTAGAAAGGACAGTTTTTGAATATGTCTGTTTGTTGTTGTTGTTGTTGTTGTTTAACGCAGAAATATACAAGTTTATGGCGGCGGCCTGTTCAAAATCAAGTCTGGGCCACACAAACCAGTGATTGACACAACGAGTAACGCAGTCGGGGTGCGATGACACGCTATCAACCAAGTCATCGAGTCTGACCAGCAGATTCATTAAGTCGCCTCTTAAGACCAGACCAGGTTGCTGGGGATCTATTCAGGCCCCGCATCCCCACTGGGGAGTTTTAATGAAGTTAACAACGCCAACGACATCACCACTCTCCCCATTCGACATCGGCACTGTTCGCGAAATACAACGATAATAACGCTGCCATAAATAGCCAACGGGAATCAGAATCACATATACACATGAAGATCAAACAGTTCAATAATTAATTAAAACAAATTTGATAAAGAGCACAATTATACATTGTTGACATTGAACAAGTTTTGAATAAACAACACATCTCATTACTCACAATCGTCTATTTCTATATTATCGTGACATCTAGATATATATAGAACATATGACAAATGGTGACAGTGTATACAGCCACAGGCAGCTGACGACAATAACCCCACCAGATGTTTCCACTCATTTTCTAACCATTTTTCAAAAACCAGATAAAACTGTTTCACTTACGCAATATCCACGTATCCTCTGAGAATGATAATCCGTGACGTCACAGTATCCCGTGAAAAGTGTCAAGTGTAAGCTCGAGCGCCGACAGTAAGTTTATATACAAACAGTTTACATATACAGTCTACTTAAAGGTTCACCTGTGTTCGGTCCCACCTGTGGTCGGTCCACGCGGGATTGAGCCAGGAATCGATTCCAGTGTGCATGCTTAAATGTGGTCGTGCTGAAACGCCTACAGCAGGTATAGCCTTTGGGTAAGAGTGAACCATTTGTTACAGCAGCAGAAAAAATGTTGACAGTCGTGGATATACTCCGTTTAAAACAATCGTTTTTACACCCCTCCCTAGCAAACCTGCATCAATGAGAAGTAATATTATTATCAAGCAGCTTTTCGGTTATATAGTATCTCCCTGATTTTTTTTGGTAATTTGTAATTACTTATTTGCAATAATGCACATGTTAAAGTATTAACTATAGTGTTAGCTGTGACCTACCAGTTGTGTCACAATAGCAGGAATATATCGTTTGTGTCGGACATAGTGTGGCTTACACTCAACTAAATTGTACTCAAACGAGCTCTTCGAAACAGATGATTGGCAGTATCAGGCGGCATCCTGGGTAATTATGTATTCCGTTAAAGGGCAGGGGAAAGACTCGTGTCAGGCCGCTGTTTTAACAAACGGCTGAGGCAGGCTGGTCGTGACAAGGATCCGTCATAATGAGATGGAATTATATTCCTGTTGGTGTTATCCTATTTTAATTTGTCCATTATTAACACAAAGGAATACAACACATACGTGATCCCAATGCAGATGGAATGGACTTCATGTGAAATTAATGGAGCTGCTCAAATTCAGATTGGGACTGTGTGGCGAGTGAGAAGGGGTTCACGGGCTTTTAGCAATATTGCAGTAATGTCACGATGGACGAAACATGACTCCCTTAACTGTATTCTTGGGGATTAAAACCCACATTTCATTTCAATGTCCCGATTTGGGTGTGTAGTACTCTGAACATTGTATACCGAAGGTGGGCGTGGTTGTACAGTGACAGTGCGTGTGGTTGTACGGCAAAGGTGGGTGTGGTTGTATAACAAAGGTAGACATATTGTATACTGGAAGGGTCGTGTTTGTAAAACCGAATGTGGGCGTGTTTGTATACATGAAGGGGTGTGCTGGTATACCGAAGGTGGGCGTGATTGTATACCGAAAGTGGGCGTGGTTGTATAACAAAGGTGGGCTTGGTTGTATACTGGAAGGGGCGTCGTTGTATGCCGAAGGTTGGCGTGGTTGTATACTGCAGGTGGGCATGGTTGTACAGAGGATTTGGGCTTGATTGTTGAGAAAGCTATACACTGAATGCAGGCCTGGTTGTGTTGTGGCGAGGTTTTGGTGCGATAGTCTGATGTGACGATCTTGCGTTGTGTGTTGTGATGTGATGTGCGTTGTGCTGGGGTCGTGTGGCGTGGCGTGGCGTGGCTGGCGTGGTGTGGCGTGGCGTGGCGTGGCGTGGCGTGGCGTGGCGTGGTGTTTTGTGGCGTGGCGTGGTGTGGCGTGGCTAGGCGTGGCTAGGCGTGGCGTGGCGTGGCGTTGTGTGTTGTGATGTCATGTGCGTTGTGCTGGGTGTTTTGTGGCGTGGCGAGGCGTGGTGTTTTGTGGCGTGGCGTGGCGTGGCGTGGCGTTGCGTGGCTTGGCGTGGTGTGGCTTGGCGTGGCGGGATGTGGCGTGCTATACCACTAAAACACAGGTAATATTCTATGCGGACATGTGGATATAATAACGCAACAATGTGTGACTCCTTACCGTGTCCGCTGTCCTCCCTGGTGGAGAGTAGACCCAGCCTCTTGTTCTTCCCTTCTGTCTTCTTCGCATTCTTCTTGTTCTTGACTGCAAAGGATAACAAAACTGTCAGTCTGTGTTGTATTCCAGTTATATCGCGACGTGTCAGCTTAATGTGGGAGGAAAGCCCGAAGTGATGCAGGTCACAGAAGTTTACCACTTTGGGGAAACCCACGCACGGCATGGTGCTGACAAACCTAGAAACATAATCAGGACAAACCCAGATTGAAACCCCCAAAACTTTGGTTCCTGGAGTGCCTAAGCGAGATGCTCGTATCAGTAAGAGCGAACAGGGAGGGTTGACTTGATTCCCTGACAGGATTTGTTTGTTCCTTTGTTTGTTGTTTGACGCCTAACTCAGCAATATTTCAGCTAGATGACGGCGACGTTTGACACGATCAGCATCGGAATACAGTGGGACCCAGTTAATCCGGGTGTCAGTGTCAGGATTAATGAATAATTGGTACACAGTCATGTCCTTTGTAAACATAAAGACGTAAATGGCAGAAGACCCGTGAAGATCCGGGTTACAATTGATCTTCAACAACTAACGGGATCGGGTGGTCAGGCTCGATGATATGGTTGATGCACGTCATTGTATCCCAATTGTGTGGATCGATGCTCATGATGTCAATCACTGGATTGTCTGGTCAAGACACGACTATTTTCAGATCGTTGTCGTAAGAGGCGACTAACGGGATCGCGTGGTCAGGTTCGCTAACTTGGTTGATGCATGTCATCGTCACCATCAACAGTTATCAAAAATGATCTGATGAGTGCGGAAAAGTTGCTTAAATATATAACCCCAACAGATGTCATGTTATTCCTTCTTGATACACAAGATTCATATGTGATGGGTTCTTTTCCTTTAAGGTTGAAAAAAACTGGCATTGGTTTTGACTTTATACATGACCGGACTTGCGAACGGCCATTTGAAGGCAAGTGTTTCGCAAGGTAATGTGGTTGATGGTGAACATACTATTACTTTGAGGGTTTTGCTTCATCAAACCTTTGTTTGTTGGTCGATAAAAAAATAAAATGAGACATTTTGTAAAAGTTTTTGTAACAATCTAGTGTCAGTAGGGTGATAAAAAAAATATCTAATGCTCTTTTGTCTGCTTTTGTGAAACGTGACTGGTATATTACAGTTGTTAGTGTTTACACACTGTTATGAGTACAGGGGATGCTATGAACAGTATTTGAGGAAAGAATTTTTTTATTTTTCATTCATAAATGTGATTGTGATTATAAAAAAAAATAAACTAGATTTCTCTCACATTGATCTTTTTAGCATACGTCAACCAAACAAAAACATTTACACCACAACTTGCATCGAAAAGCATTAGCATAAATACTGAGGACCAAACGCACTAAAATCCTAATTATTTGAACAAATTATGATGTCATAATGCGAGGGAGTGAATGAGTTGGGTTTAATGTCTCTTTAAACAGTATTACAGTTACATCACGGCGTGTCTGCTTGATGTGTGAGGAGAGCCCGAAGTGATGCAGGTCTTAGACGTTTACCACTTTGGTGAAACCCACAAGCACGAGTATATGCTGACAAACCTAGAAAAATAATAGGGGGGTACCGGGATTCGAAACCACGATCATGGGTTTCTTGGGTGTCCAAGGGACGCAACTCTGCACAGCGAATTGCGGCGCCTTAGACGACTAGGCCACCCGTGCCCGCTCATCGTGAGAACACACATACATGTAAAAGTTGAACTTCCTCAGCCTGGTCATTTCAGGTCGAAATATGAATTATGAGAGAAGGTCACGAAGGTCAAATCACACTCAAAATGTAAATACTGAGAAAAAAAACACACCTGTGTAGAGCCCAGCTAATAACTATCAATTTACCAACGAACTACTCATGCACCAATATTGATCAAAATTTCCACAAATAGCTGTTTCTATATAACCATATTTCCATATAAACTGTTTCCATATTATAACCGGATTCGAACCTGTCTCACAAATTCAGGTTTCATCATTGGTGGGAATAAGCATGTGATGTTTCAGCTTCAATGGTCTGTGGTTTCTCAGGATATGAAGTTTACTGTGAATTGTATTTTGAAACATTTTAGTTGCATGGTCAAAGTTGAAAGGTCAAATAAAGGTCCTAATTTAAAAGATCACAAAATACGATCATTTGTCTTAAGCCCCAATAATATCTATACATAGCCAAACTGGATTACATTTTGAATACTAATGGATGAATAATGGCTACAAAAAAAATCAACTTTCAGAATGGTCAAAACGCAGAGGTCAAATCAAGGTCAATATTTAATATAATGCCAATCGAAATAACGGAATATATGTGTTGAACACAGCTAATATGTCCACATATACCAACTTTCATTACATTTTGGACGAAAACGGCTGATTAATATCCGTAACAAGTTTTAACTTTCAGTGAGGACGAAGTGAATAGGTCAAGTGAAAGTAAAATTTAAATATTTGCTCCACCCAAAAACGGAATACGAGTTGAGCCCATATTACTACACTTGTACCAAATTGGATTACATTTTGAACAGGTAAGCTAAAAAGCAGGTCTAGCCATCTCTATGAGCATCGGCAAATAACTTTTAGAGGAGAGAAATGCATTGTGTAATTAAAGATTTCACAGCCTGTATGTTAGTCTAGCCCATTACACATGTATCTATAGATCTAGTCCATGGCTCTGTCAATGAATAAGTCACGCTTGCCCTGCTGCTCTCTCTACGGACATCTTGTTTACAAGTTGCAGTGACTTGTGAGAGGAACACAAGCGCCAAAACGCATCCCACGGTGCCAGTGGAATTCCAGGAATGGCAACAGAGGAGCAATGCACACAGCACGTGGCTCCTTCATGCCCCGTGCCAACATGTGAGTGCGCCATTTTACCAACCACGTGCTAGTGGCTTGAGTTTACCTACCATTGTTTTTAGGCTTTGGTTTCTTCTTCCTGTTTCTCCTTCTTCCACCTACAATAAGCGCGCCCAGGTCGTTGTCAGGTAACAGAGCCCTGTTGATTGCATTTTGTAGTTTTTCCTTAAGGGGCTGGCGCATTTCACTCTTCACTGGCCGCGAGGCGAGCTTGTTAGGATAGCTGCATGGCGTTCCTGAAACACATAACGCATTTCAGATAGCGCTTACACCTTCAGTTCAACTCACAACAACACAAGTTTACAACTTACCGGTTTAAACCAGACTTTACTGTTATTTTCCCGACGCTAAAACCTTGGTTTTACACACAGACCATTCCTCTCTCGGACCTCAACTTGTAACGTTTCCGGAAAGATTCCGACTAAAGGTTATGACGTCACGTCCGAGTTGTGATTCATCCACATGGAAGGAGTTAGTGCACGTCTTATCATTCGATTACAAACATCAGATAACGATGCATGCATCCACGCGTCGCCAAGGCCAAATAAGGTCCCCCTCCCTCCCAGCATGGTAATGCCTGCACGGTGGGGGAGGCCTCACCCCCGTGGCCCTATTCACCTCTCACCTGGAGCCGGGCGTAATATTTTATGCAGCAGTCCTAGAAAGTGTGTCTTGTAACGTTCGTGCAGGAGTCCTTGTATTCGGAGCTCATTCATACCAAGGGCATGTGCCAAGTCTCGTTCTGTCTCTCGTAGTCTCGTATCACCCCAGTTCACCCCGACTGATGTGTTTTATTGATGCATCAGACATGCCATGCGTCTTCCCTGCTGAACGTAAACATCCACACGTGCTTTCAAGCACCTCCCTTCCGGGTTCAATCTTCTCACGAACATGTCGCCCGATGATGGGTCTGCTTCCACAACCTAGGGTGAGTGAGGGGGGTGGGGTTTTACTCAGTTTTAGCAACATTCCCGTCTCCTCAAGGAGGGCGGTCGGGTAGCCCAGTGGTTAAAGCGTTCGCTCGTCACGCCAAAGACCCGGGTTCGATTCCCGACATGGGTACAATGTGTGAAGCCCATTTCTGGCATCCCCCGCCGTGATATTGCTGGAATATTGCTAAGAGAGGCGTAAAACCATACTCACTCACTCCTCAAGGAGCAGGCCAGCAAGGGACCGGGTAAGAATAGGTCTTCAGCAACCCATGCTTGCTGTAAAATGCGACTTTGCTTGTCGTAAGAGGCTACTAACGGGATCGGGTGGTCAGGTTCGCTGACTTGGTTGATGCATGTCATCGTAATCCAACTGCGTGGATCAATGCTCATGATGTCAATGACTGGATTGTCTATTCCAGACTCGATTATTTACAGACCGCCGTCATATAGCTTGAATATTGCTGAGTGTGGCGTTAAACAACAAACAAACAAGGTCACCAAGAATGGGCTTAGGTCCCGGGTCTTTGGAGTGACGAGTGACATTTACCACTGGGCTATTCCCTACCAACCATTCTTGCATATCCTGGAGACTCGAGAGCTGAATGTCTGGTACAAGCTACTTTCTTACCTGTTAAGAAGCATAGTTAATAGAAATACACAATGAATATTTTGAATGAGTGAATATAGTTTGGGGCTTTTAGCAATATACCAACAATTATACGGTGGGGGACTGTCGGACACCCAGTGAGTGAGTGAGTGAGTGAGTGAGTTTACTCAGAATGGTTTTGGATGCGGGTGTTCTCACTGTACTGCAAACTATACGATGCAGTGTTATATTGAATACATGCATTGTACAGTTAGTAATACAATGTTATATATAATACATGCAGTGTATAGTTAGTAATACAATGTTATATATAATACATGCAGTGTACAGTTAGTAATACAATGTTATATATAATACATGCAGTGTATAGTTAGCAATACAATGTTATATATAATACATGCAGTGTACAGTTAGTAATACAATGTTATATATAATACATGCAGTGTACAGTTAGTAATACAATGTTATATATAATACATGCAGTGTACAGTTAGTAATACAATGTTATATAGAATACATGCAGTGTACAGTTAGTAATACAATGTTATATAGAATACATGCAGTGTATAGTTAGAAAAACAATGTTATATAGAATACATGCAGTGTATAGTTAGCAATACAATGTTATATATAATACATGCAGTGTACAGTTAGTAATACAATGTTATATAGAATACATGCAGTGTATAGTTAGAAAAACAATGTTATATATAATACATGCAGTGTATAGTTAGTAATACAATGTTATATATAATACATGCAGTGTACAGTTAGTAATACAATGTTATATATAATACATGCAGTGTATAGTTAGAAAAACAATGTTATATATAATACATGCAGTGTACAGTTAGTAATACAATGTTATAAAGAATACATGCAGTGTATAGTTAGAAAAACAATGTTATATAGAATACATGCAGTGTATAGTTAGCAATACAATGTTATATATAATACATGCAGTGTATAGTTAGAAAAACAATGTTATATATAATACATGCAGTGTACAGTTAGTAATACAATGTTATATAGAATACATGCAGTGTATAGTTAGAAAAACAATGTTATATAGAATACATGCAGTGTACAGTTAGTAATACAATGTTATATATAATACATGCAGTGTATACTTAGTAATACAATGTTATATATAATACATGCAGTGTACAGTTAGTAATACAATGTTATATAGAATACATGCAGTGTACAGTTAGTAATACAATGTTATATAGAATACATGCAGTGTATACTTAGTAATACAATGTTATATAGAATACATGCAGTGTACAGTTAGTAATACAATGTTATATAGAATACATGCAGTGTATAGTTAGAAAAACAATGTTATATAGAATACATGCAGTGTATAGTTAGCAATACAATGTTATATATAATACATGCAGTGTACAGTTAGTAATACAATGTTATATATAATACATGCAGTGTACAGTTAGAAAAACAATGTTATATATAATACATGCAGTGTACAGTTAGTAATACAATGTTATATATAATACATGCAGTGTATAGTTAGAAAAACAATGTTATATATAATACATGCAGTGTACAGTTAGTAATACAATGTTATATAGAATACATGCAGTGTATAGTTAGAAAAACAATGTTATATAGAATACATGCAGTGTATAGTTAGAAAAATAATGTTATATATAATACATGCAGTGTACAGCTAGAAAAACAATGTTATATAGAATACATGCAGTGTATACTTAGTAATACAATGTTATATAGAATACATGCAGTGTACAGTTAGAAAAACAATGTTATATAGAATACATGCAGTGTATAGTTAGTAATACAATGTTATATATAATACATGCAGTGTATAGTTAGCAATACAATGTTATATAGAATACATGCAGTGTATAGTTAGCAATACAATGTTATATAGAATACATGCAGTGTACAGTTAGAAAAACAATGTTATATAGAATACATGCAGTGTATACTTAGTAATACAATGTTATATATAATACATGCAGTGTATAGTTAGAAAAATAATGTTATATATAATACATGCAGTGTACAGTTAGTAATACAATGTTATATATAATACATGCAGTGTATACTTAGTAATACAATGTTATATATAATACATGCAGTGTACAGTTAGTAATACAATGTTATATAGAATACATGCAGTGTACAGTTAGTAATACAATGTTATATAGAATACATGCAGTGTATACTTAGTAATACAATGTTATATAGAATACATGCAGTGTACAGTTAGTAATACAATGTTATATAGAATACATGCAGTGTATAGTTAGAAAAACAATGTTATATAGAATACATGCAGTGTATAGTTAGCAATACAATGTTATATATAATACATGCAGTGTACAGTTAGTAATACAATGTTATATATAATACATGCAGTGTACAGTTAGAAAAACAATGTTATATATAATACATGCAGTGTACAGTTAGTAATACAATGTTATATATAATACATGCAGTGTATAGTTAGAAAAACAATGTTATATATAATACATGCAGTGTACAGTTAGTAATACAATGTTATATAGAATACATGCAGTGTATAGTTAGAAAAACAATGTTATATAGAATACATGCAGTGTATAGTTAGAAAAATAATGTTATATATAATACATGCAGTGTACAGCTAGAAAAACAATGTTATATAGAATACATGCAGTGTATACTTAGTAATACAATGTTATATAGAATACATGCAGTGTACAGTTAGAAAAACAATGTTATATAGAATACATGCAGTGTATAGTTAGTAATACAATGTTATATATAATACATGCAGTGTATAGTTAGCAATACAATGTTATATAGAATACATGCAGTGTATAGTTAGCAATACAATGTTATATAGAATACATGCAGTGTACAGTTAGAAAAACAATGTTATATAGAATACATGCAGTGTATACTTAGTAATACAATGTTATATATAATACATGCAGTGTATAGTTAGAAAAATAATGTTATATATAATACATGCAGTGTACAGCTAGAAAAACAATGTTATATAGAATACATGCAGTGTATACTTAGTAATACAATGTTATATAGAATACATGCAGTGTACAGTTAGAAAAACAATGTTATATAGAATACATGCAGTGTATACTTAGTAATACAATGTTATATAGAATACATGCAGTGTACAGTTAGTAATACAATGTTATATAGAATACATCAATGTATAGACAGTCATATATTTTTGCTAGAGCCTTATACGCGTGCGTTAGTGCGTGCGAGTACTTGTTTTAGTGTACATCAACCCAGTAAATACTCAGCGCACTACGGCAGTGTGTGATCCCGTCTTCTCATATGTCACAGTCCCCACCGGCCGTGTAGCACTCAGTCCGTACATCAAGGTGTGAGAGACTCCTGTAGTTAGCATACCATGTCTGCATCTGTCAATACACTTGATGCTAGATGATGTCAATGACTATTGTCTGGTAACAGGCCGTCGTCATATAGCTGGAATATTGCGGCGTTAAACAACAAACAAACAAACAAACAAACTGTATGCTGCCATCTGCTGTGACGTTCTATCATTCTAAACTAAACGGCACAAGAAACTTTGCTCCAGATTGAAGTGATTGTAATTAATAAACTATAAATAACAAAAGTTTGAGGTAAAGTATATTCCACAATGTATTGAACCCCTCAAACTGGACATTTTGTGGCTAAATATTGTCCACCAGATAAACAAAATCAGTGGGAGTTAAAAACTCAGTTGTCCAGATTTCCACTGCAATTCATTCAAACACGGGAAGTGGTCACAGACACACAAAATATCACTTACAATCTGAATGTGGCCACCCCGTGCCTCCATACAAGCCTCGGCTTCGGACGGAAAACGTCAAACGTCTGATGAGGTCACGTGGGAAGCAGTTCCATTCTTCTTGTAGAGCTTGTATCAACTCTTGTCTGTTGGCGGGAGCGTTTGGTTGTACTCTAAGTCGCCTGTCCAAGAGGTCCGACAGGTGTTGTATGGGTGAAAAGTCACGAGAACATGCCGGCCACGGTAAGACGTCGACGTTGTTGTTGGCAAGGACGTACACTCTGATACGAGCTGTGTGGGGTCTGGCGTTGTCGTGTTGGTACAGAACACCTCGGGGTTGTCCCTGGAGGTCAGTCTGTCTGAAACCCTGCAACAAGTTTCCAACGGCAACACGGGAACGGCCAAAGGTTCTTGCAACATGGGTGTGCGTGGCCCCCATCTGGACCATCCCAATTGCTT